AATTATTTAATTCAAATTAAATTTTCCCATCCGTCCGAATGACGAGTCCCAAATGGGAGGAAATGCGCATCCAGGATTCCACTGTTAGTCACCACCCACCAGTTGACTTCAAGTCACATGACCAGACATCGTTGATGCATCTGCACTAGGAGCGGACATGTCAACCCTAAGACGGAGCACTTCACTCCAATCAATCGACAGAAAAATCTAAATTGAATTAAGTAGTGTTCCTTTATTTATAACTTTTATTGAAATTCATCCGTTATACTTGCAGTTTAGTTATGAAGACCAGTTTTTCTGTAGTTTTTATGTGAGACGTCGAGAGTTAGGTGGTAGGACGTCATACTCTTCTGCATTTATCAGCGAAACGTATCAGGTATAGGTTACAACTGGTCGAGTAACTTCAGGATCAAGACGGTATCCATGATTTGATCGCTTCTGTGGTCTTTGATTCTTACCGCTTTTATCCTGAGATTTAACAACAAACAAATAGTCTGTGTCATATATATCATCAGGGAGTGTGTAAGTAACTTTCAAAACAAATTTATCTCCATTTCATCTTTGTCTCCTTCATAGGTTAGAACACAGACGGTAAATTACACTTCAAATTCCCTTAGGTAGTTAGTATTGTGCACAGTCTTATGTGATTTTGCATTAAGCGTTTAAAGAAATACTATTATCATTCCAGCTTTTAACTTTGGGTGTTTTAAGGATGCTTTGTTGGTGTTTTACACAGCTGGGATGTCTATTATACTAAGAGCGAAAATCTCGACCGATATCTGCTACCTTGACACAATTGTTTTTACACTATGCTGGGGGTCTGTGAGCGAAGTCGTACTGCTGGAGAACTGGGATGTAACAGTAGTAAGGTGCTTCCCTCAGATGACCAGCATTCCAGCTATGCTGTCTCTCCACTCTGCAAAGAGGGGTTAGGAAAAGGTCGACCCCAACAATTGTACATCCTGACTTACCCTATGGTAGTCCGTAACCGGCTGTAAATTTTCTAATACGGAATCAATCCAAAAAAATCAGCTCACACCGACCGTGTGTGATCGGCAGTTGTCCCTTGGGCTCTGTGATCACGCAACACTAACCCTTTTTCTCTTTCAGGTACCTGAAGAATCAATCAACTCCCACGGTGTGGGCAGTCGAGAAGTAACAACCGCCCACACACTTACAAAAGCACACGAAGCCTTCCTGAGCATCATTCACCTTTAACCACATCACCTTCATCATCTTTCCCGCCTACTACAGTCGGTACCATTCTTCAGGCTAGTGAGTCATCTTCACTTCACTCTGTAACCACAAACAACGATTAGAGCCATAGAAATACCCCCCGACAACCTCTTAAAGACACGTCGCCAACTTCATATAGAAGCATTTAACGTAAGGACCCTTTGCCAAATCGGACAACAGGCATCATTAGCAAGAACTCTGGAATCTAGAGCCAGGGATGTATATTGTGTTTCGGAGACATGCATACAAGACCTGAGTGTGGTCATTCACTTAACCTCACCAGGCCAACAAGGTGAATCTGCAAAACTCACTTTAAGGGTGTCAGGAGACCCCTCAGCTAGCTCGCGAGGACTCGCAGGTGTAGGGATAGTATTGAGTCTTAGGGTAGAAAAATCACTTCTTGACTGGACCCCAGCAGATAGTCGTATGTGTGCGGTCCATCTGAACGGGTTCATTAGAAGGAAGGACGTCGTTGTCTTTTCGTAGTCTCCGCTTACACCCCAACAGACTGCAGTTCGGATGAACTAAAGGATGATTTCTACCTGAAAATGTCCATTTTGCTACAAAAAGGAAAACGTTCAGATATAGTTATTTTAGCAGGCGACTTCAATGCCCAAGTAGGGAAGTTGTGCCAGACTGAGAATTATGTGGGTGGCACGTATGGAGTTCCCTGCCGACGAACCGACGACGGTGATCGTCTTCTACAGTTCTGCTCAGATAATCATCTATTCCTAGTCAGCACTAACTTTAGGCACAGAGAGAGACATTACGTAACCTGACATCCTCCATCACCAAATCAACGTTGGACTCAGATAGGCCACATAGAGATTGGGCATCGTTGGCGAGGCTCAGTAGAAGGACTGTTGATCCTTCTGGAACACATGCGTAGACTCTGATCACGCCCTGGTTCGCGCACGTTTATGCTTACGATTAAATAGACATAAAAAATTGTTGTTAGCGAAGCAGGTACGTCCCCAACTAGATTGAAACTCTGAGTCCCTATGTAAGGAAGAAGTGGCAAAACAAGTATCTGAAGTCGACAGCAGTACTCCTCCTGAGGAGCCTGACACAACATACAGTTAGCTGTAGACACAGTTGTAAAAGCTGTTAGTAACTTGAAACCTAAAGTTAGTAAGAGCCATTGGATCCCCACCGCCTCATCCGAATTGATTGACGCAAGAAGACTGATTCCGGCGAGCTCCGACTATGATGAGGAGCGAAAGCTACTCAAACGCAAACTAACAAGAAGCCTTCGTAACGACCGTGAACAGTGGTGGGCGACAAAAGCGAGAGAGATGGAAAAGGCACCGGCGATTGGTAACATCAGACAACTATTTAGACTTATCAGGGTTACAGGTTGCAAAAGGCAAACGATAAGTGGAACAATCTCCGAGGAAAATGGCACCATAATTAGCTCCCAGGACAGACGACTAGGACGTTGGAAAGAACACTTTAAGGAGCAGTTTAACTGGTGTACAGCCACGCTCACAACCTGCGGAAAATCCAACACCTCCCTAATTGGGAAATAGGCACAAGTCCTCCGTCCCTAACTGAGGTTACTAAGGCTGTCACTAGTCTGAAACGAGGCAAAGCAGCGGGACCTGATGGAATAACTCCAGAGGTATTTAAGTACGATGGAGACCGTTCACTGTCTGCATTAACTAAGGTACTAGCCTGTTTCTGGGAATCAGAGGAAGTCCCGTCAGGCTGGTGTAAGTCGTTGATTATCCCAATATACAAAAAGGGAGACAATTCTTCCTGTGATAATCACAGAGGGATAAGCTTGACTAATATGGTATCTAAAGTTCTGGGCTCAATAATAATGCATAGATTAAGCGGTGCTCGAGAGGCACAAACACAAGAGAACCAGGCAGGCTTTAGACCAGAAAGAGGGTGTATTGATCATATCTTCACCCTTCGACAGATTCTGGAACATAGGCATACTTACCGGCGTCCAACAATCGTCATATTTCTTTAATAAGAGGCGGCATTCGATTGTCTACTGAGAGGTTATCTGGCGATGTTTAGCTGTGAAAGGAATGTCGAGGAAATACATTGCACTGATCAAGGCACTCCACTCAAGCAGCCAGCCAGGTGAGAGCTTACGGCGAGTTTTCATCTGAAGTGGTAACAACTAGTGGTGTCCGTCAGGGATGCCCATTTCTATTCAATTTCATCATAGATGTACTGATGGAATTAACCCTAACTCACTTCAGCGACTTAGGGATTGACTTTTTACCAGGGAATAATAGTCTTGTTGACTTAGAATATACAGATGATATAGTCCTTCTAGGTGAGGACGCTGACAAAATGCAGAGTATTCTGAACACCTTGAGTTGCAATCTGCGAATGTTTGGCATGTGATTCGCTCCCACCAAATATAAGATGATGCTTGCTGCAGGACTGTATTATACTGACTCCTAGCTTAGAAATAGGGAGTGAAGTGGTAGAGAGCGTTGACCACTTCACTTATATGGGAAGTTGCATCGGTCAACGCCAGTGGGTTTTGATCGCTGACGAAATCTCAGTCCGGATACAGAAGGCTCGTTTCGCATATGCCAGTTTACGCCGTCTCTGGCGTAGACGTGATATCCGGCTATCAACCAAAGGACGTGTTTACTGCTCAGCAGTCCACTCCGTCCTCCTTTATGGCTGACTGTGAGACCTGGCCATTGAGAGTGGAAGACATGAAAAGCCTGGCTAGCTGTCTTTGATCATAGGTATCTACGTTCTATCTCCCATGTGAAATGGTATGATAGGGTGAGCAATATTTAGGTTAGACGTCGACTGCTAGGTAAAGAGGGGAAATCAATAGACGAGGTTGTGAAGCTACATTGATTGAGTTGGCTAGGACATGTATTACGTATGCCTAGGCATCGCCTTCTCCGATGGGCAATGTTAGTTGACATAGGGTCTGGTTGGAAAAGAGCCAGTAGTGGTCAAACCAAAACATGGCACCAGTCAATGAAATCCACAACAGTTAGTTTAAGCCACGTAGGAAGATGTAGACTTTCTGCTTACGGTCCTTGGGACGGTAAAAACCAATGACTAGAGACAATCGGTGATATGGCTCAAAATCGTTCGCAGTGGCGCAGATGCATCCACTCCTTGTGACTTATCATTCCAAATGAAACTATTTTGTTCTTAAATATCCCTATTCTTTTTGCCTGATATCTCTGTTCACTGTCTCTATTTTGCGTTTCTTTTTACTTTCTTCTTCTTCTCTGGCTTTGTGTGCTGAGTGTATTGTGGCGACTCGGACTGCTGTACACCGGTGCAAAGTTCTATGTTGAACCCAGTCGGCCAAGGGAGAAAATACCTTGCGATTACTTTTAGCCTCACCCTAAGTCAGCCTAGAAACTGCACTGCAGACTTAGCTAATAACTTTAGATTAGCTCAGCAGAATAAATTGCCTACTGGTGCTTGTTTAAAATCAGTGCTTAGTAGTAGTCAATCTGCAAAGCATTTAGCGAAAGTCAGATAGGGAAAAGGCTAATAAGAAACTTAAAGAACAGTGTGTATATAGGCGAACTTCCCTTAACTTTCTGTGCATTTTAGTTGACTTCAATGATTGTTTAACAACCAAAATTAAGCGACTTTTTGTCTGTGTGTGTCATTTCACTCATATGAACACCCTAGTTCATAGAAATAACTTGGAAGTGACTTTATCCCTTCCTTATATATATAATAGTGAATTCACTCGAAAACCTTTAGTTTTCTGTTAATACATCCCTTAATTTTAAAATGTATCTTTCATATTTCAGCTATTTGTGGACATTGATTTTGTCGTGCCAAAAATTACACATTGCTCACAACGTATTTGTGGCTCGTTCTAAATCCACTGGATATATGCGTGTTGTAGTATGGCCACGATGCTCAGCTTATGGTGCAAAAAATATTTCTAGTGTTGTCTCAGAAGCGGGATTTTACGTAGCTGTTGCTGAGCTTGCTGGAATGATGGTTGTTGCCGGAGAAGATATCGCTTCCACATTGACCTATAACAAGATTGAATCCATTCTACGCAGTGAATGTTTGTCAAGAGAAACTATGCATTTACTGGAAACCGAATTGTTTGAAGCCCTATGTGTCCAACAACAATAATCGAGAAAAATCTTACCTATTCATAATTACTTTAAGTACGGAACACAACTGGTGTCTGAAGCTCTTTGGCTGAGTATATTTGGAGATATTAATGCATATAATAAACATTGTATGAATTCATGCTTGAATTATCTACTGAATACAATCGTATTTTTTTATTAATGTGTTCATTTCGTACGTTCAGCTCTCACACATACAGTGAACAATAACTGAAGGGAAAACTCAAAGCTTTTCTACTGAATACTTCTTTCAAGCGCACAACATCGACTTAAGGTGACTCAAAACAACATGGGACTACTGTCTCACAAATGACTGGTAAAGTACGGTCAGGATCAAGGAACATAAAAATAATATTGTCTCCTCTCTTCTACTTGGTCGATTTGCTACTAGTGTTTGGAATACTTGGTTGAAGAGTGCCTTCATAAGGACCAACTAGGCCCAGAAATCCCTGTCGATTATTTCCAGCCATCTAACAGAAAGCATCTATTAGGCTTATCTTAAATCAGTCCGAAAATGGTGCTTTATCGTGTCCTCCTGAGTAATAAAACCTAACTGGATGGTTGTATTTTTGCTTGTGACTTCTCTCCGTGCTTTTGTTTGTTCAAAAAATTAGCTCATAAGTGTAAGTAGTTAGTGTACACATTTTAATTATAAGGAATATAAAGCAATGTTCTATAGATTTATTTTAATGACATTAATTAAAATCAGTATACTAGGAAAGGACGAAGGACCAATTGATGACAACAAAAAGGTACACCAAATGGTAAGCTTCCATCGCGGTTTAAACGTAAAACCCCCAGCTGACTGAAGACAAATAAGCACATTGTAAACTGCAATTATCAACCGTTCTACAGTACTTCAAATACAATTGAAGCGATCTTCAGTTCCTAATTCTTTTATGACTTAACAGTCGACAATACATAGAGGACTTCCACAGCATCAGAGACTGAAAGTCGTCTTATGAAGTCACTATATTCCGGGAAACTTATCTAGGGTTCGTTATTTAACCTCTTTGTTAAGCAGACTGGCAAACATAGATCGTTAGAGTTAGGCCTTGCATCTAGTTAAGACTCAGCCAGATGTAAGAATCAAGTAACTGTGTTGTGAAATAGCCTATTTATATAGAAAATCCCTTAAGTTATTGCGCGAAATATTGTTGTAAAGTATTCTAACGAAACTTTGGTGTTGAAGTTGTGTGCTGTTTCTTCCAATGAATTGAACAATAAGGTGAATGTGCAACATTTTACTGTCTAAACAAGGGATTTGATTCTAAATAGCACTGAAGACTTCGGACAAAGGAAGTTTACGGTGTTTTGCTGCTAAGGATAAATAGCGAAGAGGCGAATATTATACATGAATATGCTGGACCTCAGTAACAAAACGTTCCACTGAACTGGCAGCATCAAGCCTAAGGTCTTCCAGCCTTTGCATTTCCGCTCTCCCAACAAATGCATGTGGCATAAAATATTCCAGTGACTGTGTTATATATAAAACACATTCAAAATTATTGCTAAGATGACCGTTTAATGTGAACTTTGGATTTATGGGGGTAATCAAAATAAAAACTTTTAGCCTAAAAGCTGTAATTGACAGTATTTCTGTTGGAGTCTGTTCTCGTCAAAGAGTAGTGGGAGCTCAACTAGAAGAGTTGAACACCCGTCTTCACTTGTATGTCCACGGATCTTACCTGTAGTAAACTCTCCATCCCTTGAACTGAATGGATCACCCACCTATAAATTTCTCAAATCACCACAAGTTGAGGTAATGGTTCACTGAAGCAAGCTACCTAGTTGAATGCCATAAAAAATCTATACCTCATCTACTACTACTAACCCCATACTTTTGATGACAAACAGTTCATCAACAGGATATTGTAAATAAACCATGCTTCCCAATATCTTAGTGCAAGAGATGGCACCACCAGTCACTACAACAGCCATCGCTTGTAAGTATATTTCAAGCACCAGGCATACATTTACCGTCACCTAGTCTTCGTATAGAAACAATGACACCGCAGACCCGTACCTTTCTGAATAACTGTCTCGACAGCTACGTTCGTAAACATTAAAAATTAGAACCGAGTGCCGTCAGACCACTGTGACTAAGTCAAACTCAAACGGTGCACACCAGCACTGGAACTACTTATACATTTACGGAAATAAAACCTTTTACAGGATTACGATATGTATGAGGCACCGACGGCAGTTCACACGCCAGACACTATGATTTAGAGAAGCTGCCACGATATTAAGAACAAAGAAAATATTTAAATGGAAAGCTTTATTGCAATGTCATGACAATGAATAGCTATGGTAGGGTAACACACCATCCTGGTCCATCACGAGTTGTGCCCAGTGTGCCCTTCATTTGTTAGTGGCATAAGTTTGCTTGGACTTTGACCTAAAATTAAGAAAGTAACATTTTAGACACTCATAACATGGCATTCATTGGTCTAATGTGAAAAATATAACACGACCTCAGCCGCTCCTCGATAAAATCACAGTGACAACTTACCTACGTTCCGCGACCACGACATAACTGGTATCTGCAAACAAAGAGGAAAGTTCAGTTAGCCATCAGAGTAACTATGACATGGTGGAACACAAGCACGAGAAAACATTCAAAACGAACGTATTCAAGTAAACTAACCGTTGTAACAATATCATCATATTTATGCGTACTTACCTTTCGTGCAGAATCACTCTGACAATTCGCCCACCGATACACTATTCGCAAATGTCTTCAATCCTGAAAGAACAAAAACGTGCTGTTGGTTAATCAGAGTAACTATGACATGTATGAAACACGAACACGTAAGAACACCCAGAACGGCTGTCTTACGAAATATTAAACATTACAGAATCATCACAATGGGAAACTGAAACCCACTTACACTCAGATTTCTAAAACCAGATCATGATCTCGTGCACCATTCTGTAGTGAAACCAAGGATTTACGTTCGTTTAAATCATCGATGTATGTTTATTCTCTCTTTGCAGGAAGACACGACTACACCAACAACCAGAACCTCTGACATTTTAACCCCTTGCTAATAGCGCAAGATGTCTCACCACTGCTGCCTCTACCACCGATGGCCATGCCAGTAGCATGCATGTAACTTTAGCGTATAAAACAGTGTAGTTAAACAACAGACTCAAGTACAACTGTCAATATTTGTAAATGTTAAATAATAAATTAAACACAAATATTGGTGTCTTTCTGTGTATGTAAGAAAGGCGAATAGTGATCGAAAACAATCCTGTATCTCAAATTATTGCTTTCTTTGAAAGGTTCCACTGATAGCTAGACCTAATTTGTCTTTCAACACATCTGTCAAGTATAATGCTGTTTTGTTCAGCATTTATTGTTATATTTCTCCTAGGTGGCCAGTAATTTGGAGTTAGAGGCCGTCAATATAGACTTTAAGTCTGCCGAATGTATGCCATGAAATATAAACTCATAAAGTAGTTTCAAAGCAAGTAAGGTGTGTGTAGAATCTCATACGAAGAAGCCACTGTGCTGCACACTGACCAAGGTCTGGTTGGTCATAAGTGCCCTAAAACCAGAAAATAGAAATTTCGGGCCACTTAACTCTAGTACAGTTTTACTGATACGACAAAAGAGTGCAGGTGAAATCCTGTTATGCTATGGAAAATGTTTCATTTCACACAAGCAGCCTTTGTACAATGAAGGGTGTTTTTAAAACAAGCTTATGATTGGACAATTTATAATTCATACAAATCAAACCAAACTGGAGCAGCCTGACTGAAAACCTGAAGTCACGTAGTCGACCCATGGGGTAAATCGACATGTGTTTATCTTCAGCTCCTAGAAACCTTAACACCTTGTGAAGAATGCTGATATAGTTTTGTATTGATGCATTAGATACTACACCCATGTAGCAGTAGCGTGACAGGTGGAGATCACTACATCAAGGACTATGGAGGTACAGGCGGCCAAATTTCCAAATTAAAAACCTCCGCAGTAAATACCCGAAGGGTTTGTAGCGGTAAATAATTCCCCAAAATTATTGGTCACAGCACTCATCACTGAACATTGGATGCTAACCCTCACTGTTTAACTCGACTTGTCTAGCTGCAGGCTTCCGGTCAAGCATCCAAGCAATCTGGCACGCTGTCGTGTTACGTTCGTTCGTGCACGATCCCAAGCCAGCTAAGCAATCATCTCGCACTCCAATTTGGTCCCGAAATATATCTCGTAATTTGGACGATCAACTATTGTGTTCTGTTTTGCCTTTGGTCTACGCGGAACGAATACTATAGAAGTTATGGGTATTAGATCTTGCGTTAGTATACTTCGTACGATCCGTGAATGTCAAACTTAATGGTACAATATCATCTGAGTTTCCACTACTCTCAGACCCATTCTTGAAATACGAGTAGGAATTGGTCCTACATGGACTTCGGTGTAACCTACTTCGGATCTCTAGTGTTTCATTCACGTCCTACCAACTGTGAAGTTCGCCTGAAGTGGGGTCAAACCATAACAGATATATGCCCACACACTTCTAAATATTGGTGTCAAAACTGTTGGCATCGACGGTTGCTAGTATTCACATGTCTGAAACAATACTTTTTGCGCCCCTGAAGTTCCTCAAAATGTATTTATGGTCACGAAATACAAGGGTCCAAAATACACTCGCAGGAGTTGCTGGATATCCGATAACTGCTCGGTCTATTATGGCCCGTCTCGCATACCGGAAGAAACACAAAATCACTGAATGCATGGATTCGTGTATATTCAACAGAGAATTAGAAACACATGGAAACTTCCTCACCAGACAGCAATAGATAAATCTATTATCTGTAACTATGTAAGTAGGTTGTAAAGCGTTGAAGACATCGCTTTTGATGCATACTGGATCTGGCAGCAACTTTATACCCCTTCATTATCAAGGTGACTTTCAGATAGCTGAGAACACATCTCTCGGAGTCTCTAAACAAGCCGGTATCGATACCAGAGGTGTGAGATCTTTATCTTTGATCATGGTCTACCTGTTCGTTTCATTTGGTTAACCAAAACACTGACGTGAAACATACCATACTCGATGAGAAATTTACGTGCTCTCAAACTGCTTATTGACCTCAACAGTGGAAGGCCGATCGGCACACGCACTCACTAGAAAATCGACTAGATCAAATCAGTCTTCTTTAAAAATATTTGCATTGAAAACCAGGACAAGATCGCGTTCTTGCATACGCTGTGGTACTTTTCGACAGACTTGAATCAAGTTGTTATACCTACGAAACCTGAAAAATCGTCGCATATGAAAT